TTTTAGTACAGACGGGGTTTCACTATGTTGACCAGGATGGTCTCGATCTCTTGACCTTGTGATCCACCCGCGTCGGCCTCCCAAAGTGCTGGGATTACAGGCGTGAGCCACTGCGCCCGGCATGAAGTACTTCTATCCATGGAGGAGTCCAGTGCCTCACCTTGTCTTTTCTTTCCACTTCCCTCAGCTCCCCGGCTTACCAGAATGCATTTCTCTTTGAGAGTCCAGACTTCTGGCTTAACCAGGGCAAGCAGGGACAGGACCTTCTCATTCCCAGGGAGAAATCCACACTTAGGGACTGTGAGAAAGAGAGGATTCAGGCCCTTTCTCATCCAGCAGTCAATGTGCCATCTCCCCTTTCCTAGTCACCTCTTATCTCTCTTACCTTCTTTCTTCTCCTGCTTATCTGTTTCCATCTAAGACAAAAAGGGGGAAAGTAGCTTTAGAAAAGTCACAGAGGTTGAAGGGCTATCATCTCCATTGGGTTTATAGTCCAAGTCCTGCACCCTGAGTGTCTCACCTCATCATCCTTGGGTGGAGGATCTGGGATGGGGATGTCCAGTGTGGCCCGGAGGGAAGTCAGGTCAGCCACATTGAGGGAGTCCTCCTGCACAGAGCTCACTGTCAGGGGCTACCCAACCTCTTCCCTTCTTCCTGGGTCACAGACTTCCCTCCACACATCCTACTTGGCTTCTGCCTCCCAACCTAGGCTCAGGTCTCACACCATCCTAACATCCCCAATCCACTGTTTGAAATAATTCTCTGCATGCTGAATCCAGTTGTTAGCTAGAAAGGGTGGGCAAAGGGGAGAGAGGACATGGGATGGGGCAGGAGGGGCCCACACTACTTACTTGCAAGAGCTGATTCAGGTATATGATTTTCTGTGGCAAGAATCTGTAGAGGAATTCCTCAGCCTGTGGGTTACATTGCAAGGGAGGGGAATCACAGAATATGCTCAATGAGATGTGTGGCAAATGGAACTGGAGGGGACTTTGGAAATAACTGGGTCCAAGACTTGTAAATGAGGAAACTTAAGTCCTGAAAATGAAGGGACGTGCCCAAGCTGGTAAGTGGCAGAGCCAAGGTTAGGATTGTGATATTCC